TAAAATGAGAAAATAATTAAAATAATAGCTAACATTGAGGGCTTACTGTGATCCAGACAGTCATAACTCCTTTATTCCCGTTGGCAACCCTATGAGGCGCCATGGTTACCATCCCCACTTTCCCTACGAGCAAACTGAGCCTGAGCAGCCTCGAGCCACCAGCTGTCCACTCCTGAGAACACTCCTTTATGCCAGGATCGCGTCTTTCCTCAATATTTGGTGTCAGACTGACTTTCCTTTGTGGAACACTGGCGGTAGTGAGGATGCTGTTGCTGTCAGCTCCCTCTTCTCTGTCTCCTGCATCCTTCCTTCTCCTCGCTGACTGCCCCTGTAGTCAGGTCTTCACTGCCTTCCTGGAAGGTTCCCGCTTCCTGCTCTTCTTCCTCCTACTCAGCCAGTTGCTGGTGCCAGAATGCCCTTCATCAAGCCCAGCTCTGAGCCTTGCCCTCCCTTGCTCAGACGCCTTCCAGGAACTTCTCCTGCCTCAGCTGGGATTCAGGGCTCTCCACATTCAGCCTAATTTTGGTTTATCTCCCGTTTGTGTTCTAGCAGAGTAGCTCTATTCTTCAGCTAAATTGCTGTTCCCGGACTGGTTGGGCTACCTCCTGTCTCTTCAGTTTCCCACCACCTTTGACCCTAGCGGCCCCAGGCACCTTCTCCATCCCTCCTCAGATCCATCCTTTACTCACTCATTCAACAAACCTATTTTGAGCACCTCCTATGTACTGGCTGTAGTGTAGGTGGTAGGTATCATGGAGCTTTTAGTCTGGCTGTGGAGAAAGAACTGGATGAGTAATCGTAAGATGTGTTACAAAAGGGTCCTAGCGCCTAACCTGGGGGTGCTGACCATAGGAGGTTAGTCAGAGAAGGCCTCCCTGATGCTATGGGCAGCCTCCCCTCCCCACCCCCAGTTAGCCGTGTCTATCTCCCCTTTAGCTCCTGGGACCCACTGTGGCTCTATTCCTGAAATAAGTCTCTTTCTTTATCCCATTTGACTGTCGTAGCAAATCTTGAACCCAGGAGGTGCTATACAAATATCTGTTGACAATCAAATCATTCTGTCAACTTCTGGTAAATCAAATTGTGCAGATCAGATTTTTTTTTTTTTTTTTTTTTTTTTTTTTTTTTTTTTTTTGAGACAGAGTTTCGTTCTTATTGCCCAAGCTGGAGTGCAATGGCGTGATCTTGGCTCACTGCAACCTCCGCCTCCCAGGTTCAGGCGATTTTCCTGTCTCAGCCTCCTGAGTAGCTAGGATTACAGGCACCTGCCACTACGCCTGGCTACATTTTGGTATTTTTAGTAGAGATGGGGTTTCACCATGTTGGCCAGGCTGGTCTCGAACTCCTGACCTCAGGTGATCCACCCGCCTTGGCCTCCCAAAGTGCTGGGATTACAGGCGTGAGCCACTGTGCCTGGCCCAGATATCTTTTAAACCATCTAGAGTGTTGAGTGATTTCAGGGTGGGTTTAGTGGCTCTCTGACTTCAGTGGTGTCACCTTAGTGGGTGGCCTTGCCCGTAACCAAGTTAACACTTTGTTTAGTGAACAGCTTGGCTCATGGAAAACTGAAGATTATACCCCAAGTTGTAATCAGAGGTTACTATCTTGCAGGGTTGGGCTTACAAAACAGACTTTCTTTTTTTCTTTTTTTTTTGGGACGGAGTCTCGCTGTGTCCCCTAGGCTGGAGTACAGTGGCGTGATCTTGGCTCACTGCAAGCTCTGCCTCCCGGGTTCTGCCATTCTCCTGCCTCAGCCTCCCAAGTAGCTGGGACTACAGGCACCGACCACCGCACCCAGCTAATTTTTTGCATTTTTAGTAGAGGCGGGGTTTCACCGTGTTAACCAGAATGGTCTCGATCTACTGACCTCATGATCCGTCCACCTCGGCCTCCCAAAGTGCTGGGATTACAGGCGTGAGCCACCGCACACGGCCAAATTCTTATGGGAATTTCTATGTGTGATTCTAATACCTTTTAGAAAAAAAAAGGTCCCATGAGCCAATGCGCCTGGCCCCAGGCTTTCATTTTATATTGTATATGCTTCAATAAATATTTGAATTTTTTCACAACAAATTTGTTAGCTTTCTAATTAAAAATTTAAAATATTCTTAAATAATTTAAACCAGCGAAGGTATTATTTGCTTCTCCCACTTCCCATTTTTGCCTTCTAAGAAAGGGACCTATATTTAAAGGGTGGAAAAAGTAATTTGGATTAAACCCCTGACTCCTGAGTCCTCTGTAGCTCAGTGAATAGGAAGAACCACAGATGAGTGTGCCCATCCAAGTGACAAAGGTGAATTGTCAAGGCTTCAAAGTACATGAGTAAAGGGTCAGGCGCGGTGGCTCACGCCTGTAATCCCAGCACTTTGGGAGGCCGAGGTGGGTGGATCACGAGGTCAAGAAATCGAGACCATCCTGGCCAACATGGTGAAACCCTGTCTCTACTAAAAATAGAAAAATTAGCCAGGCATGGTGGCTTGCACCTGTAGTCCCAGCTACTCAAGAGGCTGAGGCAGGAAAATCACTTGAATCCGGGAGGCGGAGGTTGCAGAGAACTGAGATTGTGCCACTGCCCGCCCTCCACTCCAGTCTGGTGATAGAGCGAGACACCGTCTCAGAAAACAAACAAAAACAAAGCCTACATGAGTAAGTAGAGCACCCTTGAGGGAGCTCTGCAGGCATGAGACAAACAGCCAGAACATGCATTGCTGCAGAAAGCATCCACACGTCAGAGGAAGAGGAGCCCCCTCCTCTACCAAGAGCATAGGCCCAGCCTTGTGAAGGTTTGCCTGGCATGTGGGCTGTGGGTGACTGGAGAGGCAACGGTCCCTGTCTGTTGTCATCCTGATCTTCACTCCTTGGCATAAGTGAGCACTCCCGTGACAGCACATTCATCTGTCTGGACAGCTGGGCTCCAGGCCAGTCCACAGCTGACCCACATAGCCCTCCCCTAAAGCACACAGAAGGCCCTACACTCCCACACTCACCAAGACCTCAGGATAAGGAAAAGTCTTCCTGTGTTCTTGTAGGAAAATCTCTTCTCTCGTATCTCACATGGATCCTGACTCACTAAGGAGGCAGTTCCCAAAGGCAACAGCCATGAGAGTTGGCCCCCAACATCGAAGGGGCCTGGGAGGGAGCAGTTGCTGGAATGGGAGAGGGAGCTGCATGGCGAGGGCTCCCAGACAGAGGTATGCCCTTCAGTTGAGGCATATGTGCTGACCACAGTGGCTTGGCAGAGAGGAAGCTAGAGGGAAAAATTCCCAGATCTCTTCTCTTCTGCCCACGATTTCCTGCTTATATCTCCCATTAGCCAATTAAATACTTAATTGAATACTTAAATTTAAGAAATTCCAGCCTGGGCCCATAGCCAGACTCCCTCCCTACAAGAAAAAATTTTAAACTAGCTGGACGTGGTAGCATGAGCCTATAGTCCATCCTACTCAGGAGGCTGAGGTAGGAGGATCACTTAAGCCTAGGAGATTGAAGTTGCAGTGAGTTACTGCGCCCCTGCTCTCCAGCCTGGGTGACAGAGCATGAAGGCCCTGTGTCTTTAAAAAACAATTATTTGTTGTTCGTCTGAAATTCAAGCTTAACTGGGCTTCCTGTGTTAGTTGCTAAATCGGGCACAACTCTGAGCAGAGAACACCCTACTCCCTGCACACACACTCAGGAGCCCAGGAGGGCATGATGTCCTGAGCATGGCAGGAGGCCAGCCCTTGAGCAAGGATGGAGCCCCCCGCCATGTACCCCCAGCCACCAACCCATAATGTAGAATGCTGGGCCTATGTCTCTCTCACCCATCTGTCTCACGCACTCCCTGCCAACGTATTTGAATAGATAACAACCAGTGTGGAATCTTATGTCCAAAATGCCACTCAGAAAGCTAAAAGTACAGCTATTAGGAGCCTTCCCTTGCTCAGAAACCATCTAAAAATACTTGTGGACCAGATGAAATGAAAACATTTCCAGGTTTATTCCAGCAAGCAAGCATTTTCCCGGAAGCTTCAGTATTCCATAGCTGGTAACTTAAGCACACTCTTTTTGTTGTTAAGGCACAGCAATTGTAAACTCATCTCTTTGTGACCTTGAGCAGCCCATCTTTTTTTTTTTTTTTTTTTTTTTGAGACAGAGTCTCACTCTGTCACCCAGGCTGGAGGGCAGTGGCACGATCTTGGCTCACTACAGCCTTGATCTCCTGGGCTCAAGCTATCCTCCTGCCTCAACCCCCCAAGTAGCTGGGACTACAGGTGCATGCCAACACACCCGGCTAATTTTGTTTTTTTTTTTATTTTGTTTTGTTTTTCTTAACCTTGAGCAGCTTTTTAAAGACTATTAGCCAAATTTGTAGCATAGTCTCTGACAGAGCAGACAAAGTTATTTATTTTGAGACAGGGTCTCGCTCTGTTGCCCAGGCTGGAGTGCTGTGGTGCCACCTTGGCTCACTGTAACCTCCGCCTCCCAGGTTCAAGCTATTCTCCTGCCTCAGCCTCCCAAGTAGCTGGGATTATAGGACTGTGCCACCATGCCCAGCTAATTTTTGTATTTTTAGTAGAGACAGGTTTTTGCCATGTTGTCCAGGCTGGTCTCAAACTCCTGACCTCAAGTGACCCTCCCGTCTCCACCTCCCAAGTGCCAAGATTACAGGTGTGAGTCACCACGCCTGGCCAAGAAAAGTGACCTTGAGCCCTGCTGTGTCATCACCTTCTTATACTGCTGAGTTGGGCATGAAGGACTTGGAATGAGTCAGTAAGAAGAAAAATTTCGTTTTTGGTAGGGGGAGTTATATTTCTTTGGTACTCTTCCAGAGGCGAGTTTATAAATGAATGAACTGGTGAATGAGAATATGTCCAGACGTGTGTTTTAATGAATTCTGCTCATCTTTTCCTGGGGCACAGAGGACACCCCAGTGCTCTGTCTTCATGGCCTAAGAAGTTGGGAACCTACTTGGGAAACTCTTCTTATTTAAAAGGCTAAATTTTGGATGTTCTGTTTTACAGCGATCACTGAGGCAAGGGAAGAAGCCAAGCCTTACCCGCTATTCCCAGGACCTTTGCCAGGGCGCCTGCAAACTGACCACACATCGTTGTTATCCCTTCCTCACACCAGTGGGTACCAGCCTGCCTTGATGTTTTCACCAACCCAGCCTGGAAGACCATATACAGGAAATGTAGCCATTCCCCGGGTGACCTCTGCCGGGTCAAAGCTCCTACCGCCTCTTGCCTTCAAACATACAGTTGGACACATAATACTTTCTGAACATAAAGATGTCAAATTTAATTGCTCAATCAGTGTACCTAATATATACCAGGACACCACAATTTCTTGGTGGAAAGATGGGAAGGAATTGCTTGGGGCACATCATGCAATTACACAGTTTTATCCAGATGATGAAGTTACAGCAATAATCGCTTCCTTCAGGTATGTGTTCTTTCTTCCTTTTTTATTTTTTTAGTTTTAATTTTTACTTATTTATTTAGAGACACAGTCTCACTCTGTAGCCCAGGCTGGAGTGCAGCGGCACGATCTCAGCTCATTGCAACCTCCACCTCCTGAGTTCAAACAATTCTCCTGCCTCAGCCTCCAGCATAGCTGGGATTACAGGCCGACCACCACGCCCAGCTACTTTTTGTTGTTGTTGTATTTTTAGTAGATGAGGTTTCACCATGATGCCCAGGCTGGTCTCAAACTCCAGACCTCAGCTGATCCGCCCACCTCGGCCTCCCAAAGTGCTGGGATTAGAGGCATGAGCCACCTTACCAGGCCTCTTCCTTTCTTTTTATTTTTTATTTTTTTTTTGAGACGGAGTCTCGCTCTGTCACCCAGGCTGGAGTGCAGTGGCGCGATCTCGGCTCACTGCAAGCTCCGCCTCCCGGGTTCACGCCATTCTCCTGCCTCAGCCTCCCGAGTAACTGGGACTACAGGCGCCTGCCCCATGCCCAGCTAATTTTTTGTATTTTTAGTAGAGATGGGGTTTCACCGTGTTAGCCAGGATGGTCTCGATCTTCTGACCTCGTGATCCGCCCACCTTGGCCTCCCAAAGTGCTGGGATTACAAGCGTGAGTCACCGCGCCCAGCCCCTTTCTTTTTAAATGTCATTATGCTAATGCTGCCTCAAAAGCAAAAGCCTTCTGTTTTCTGTTTAAGCAACCCACTGGTCACTTTAGAGAGTTGAAGGATAGCTGACTATGTGTTCAATCTGAGCTTGGCAGTGTTGGAGCTGTTGGTTAGCAGATACTCAGGGGCTGGGCCTGGGATGCTACTTCCCACCTGACCTACATATCATATCAAGTACAGCTGGACCCAAGAGCTCTACCAGTGAGTGGGAACAGTGTTTCTTACCGGGTAGGAGGAGACTTCAAAATCACGCTGGCCAGTGGGGCTTTTTAAACAGAGCAATTACTTGAGCTTGAGAGTTCTGGGCTGCAGTGTGCTATGCCAGTTGGGTGTCTGCATCAATATGGGGACCCCCCCACCGCCACTAAAAGCAGGGGACCATCAGGTTGCCTAAGGAGGAGTGAACTGGCCCAGGTCAGAAATGGAGCTGGTCAAAACTCCTGCACTGATCAGTAGTGCGATTGCACCTGTGACTAACCACTGCATCCCAGCCTGGGCAACATAGTGAGACCCTGTCTCAAAAAAAAAAACCCGAAAAATAAAAACCAGTGCAGCTTTCTCATCCCTTCAGTTACCCTGCCGCCCCTGCCTTCCACCTCTCCTCACTGCCTCCCAGTGCTGATGTATCCCCCGTGCACTGTGGGGCAGGAAGAGATGGAAAGTCTGTCTCTGGAAATGAGGCCCTAAGCCTCAGACCATCATCTCAGTACTCCATTTTGTTTTTTTTGTTTTTGTTTTTGTTTTTTTTGTTTTTGTTTTTTTTGAGATGGAGTCTCGCTCTGTCGCCCAGGCTGGAGTGCAGTGGCCGGATCTCAGCTCACTGCAAGCTCCGCCTCCCGGGTTTGTGCCATTCTCCTGCCTCAGGCTCCCGAGTAGCTGGGACTGCAGGCGCCCGCCACCTCGCCCGGCTAGTTTTTTGTAATTTTTTTTTAGTAGAGACGGGGTTTCACTGCGTTAGCCAGGATGGTCACGATCTCTTGACCTCGTGATCCGCCCGTCTCGGCCTCCCAAAGTGCTGGGATTACAGGCTTGAGCCACCGCCCCCGGCCTCCACTTTATTTTTTAAGAGCAAGCTAGATGAGGTGGGGTGTTGTGTGTGACAGGGATAAGCTAAGCCAGGACTTATATCTGGAATACTCTGTTTTCCCAGAGATCCAGCTGTCATGTCTCAGAATGCTGCAGATGGGCAGGTAGATGCTTCTCTTCTCGCCACCCCTTTTGTATTCTCCACCCTTTCGTCTTAGCCAGGAGGTGTTTTGCTTTTCTGTTTTTGTTTTTTGCATGAGGACTTTGTTGCATACACGGTTTTAGAATTGGGTTGGCCTGTGGTTGTTAAAAGCACAGAATGAGGTCAGAGCCACACAGCGTGGAAGGGAGAAGCTTTTTCCTGCAATTCTTCCACTTTGGAACGGAGCCTTCTTTGATCTGTTACATTTTCACTTTCTCTGACATGATACTTGGCACCCTCCCACACTGTGTCATGCCTTTTAGTGAATCATTTTGTTTCCTTTTCAGAAAACCACCTCACAATTACCACAGACCTAACTACTTGGGTTAGTGTGCCAACACTTTCACAAGATGTGCCCTATTTTTTCACATTTTTCCCCCAGGTTGTAGGCTTGGTTAGTGGATAACCCCTTAGCCTCCAGGCAAAGAATGCAACTTCCACATTACTCTGGCTGGGTCTCTCCGCAGCCATTCTCAGCCAGTGGCTAAGACTGCTTAGGAGATTTGACTATATTTTTTCTACATCAACTATAAAAAGCAGCTTTCTTACAATTATATAGACATAGCTTCTGAAGAGAGAAGTAAAACTATCATTTAATAATAAGTGAATGACTGAGGCGGGCAAATCACGAGGTCAAGAGATCAATACCATCCTGGCCAACATGGTGAAACCCCGTCTCTACTAAAGATGCAAAAATTTGCCAGGCGTGGTGGCGCACGCCTATAGTCCCAAATACTCTGGAGGCTGAGGCAGGAGAATTGCTTACACCTGGGAGGTGGAGGTTGCAGTGAGCTGAGATTGCACCACTGCACTCCAGCCTGGCAACAAAGCAAGGCTCCATCTCAAAAGAAAAAAAAAAGAAAGAAGAAGTGAATGAGGAGTAGTTTAAAGATTTCAGGAACAGCAAGCTGGCACATTGGTCTCATTGGGTGTCACCTAGGAGGGGAGCATAGCCCTACCCTGCTGTCTCTCTGGACTTGGCCAGTGCATGACTGTGGGTGAGCTGCCTCATCTTCCCTGGTCTATTTTCCAAAGGAAGAGATGAACTTGGACCATGTGACTGCCAGCTCTACTTCTGCTCTCAGATGCCATGAGCTGTTCAGAGGACTTAAATTGTAAAGTTTTAAAATTTTGATTAGTCAGTTTCTTGTTTTGGACCCATGTCTTTAGAGTGCAGAAGATGACCTGGGTATTATTTTGAGAACTTTACAAGTTTGGAGTAGAATTTATTCTACTGTTTGTATTCAGCTTATTACATATAAACTCATTCTAAAGGAGAAAAATCTTATTTGACCTCCAAACTAAGCCTGAAAGCAAATTTAGTGATCAGAATTTTTGCAAATGATGAGCATTTCATTGAATTAGGTAGCATACAGGATGATACCAAATTTGCCTGTGTATGATTCTTCAACTTTATTAAGGTAATGTTCAGGGGCACAGTAACTGTAGAGCGATTCAGTGAAATAAATTATAGTTGTAAGAGTTAAAGAAAGAGGAAATAAACACGAAATGCAGCTTAACCGTCAAAGATGGGTTTATTTTAGAGAAATAAACCTGAGAGGGGCTTCTGGCCGATTTCAGTGAGGAGCATTAACTTTTATAGCCTAAAAGCATATATTAGTTTTAGGGTAAGCGGCTTATCACAAGCTTGGAATGTTTGTATGTTGGGGAGAAGTTTATGGCAGGGTTGGAATGTCTCTGGTCAGAGGGGAGGTTATCTTGGGGCTGATATCTCTCTGGGCTGAAGGGGACTTTATCTAGGGGCTGGCATGTCTCTGGTCGGGGAGGGGTTTGGAATGTTTTTGGTTGGAGATGTTATTTGTGGTTTATGGTCATGCTGACCTTAGCCATTAGGCTGATGCCCTTTAGATTTAGGCGGTTTTTAATCAAGGTGAACTTTAGAATGACAGTGCTTGTCCAAGATTGCAATACTCCTGCCCTGTCAATAGTTACTTAATCAAGATGACAAATATTTATATAATTTCTTGGCAAGAGAGGATGATGTTGGAGACCCTAAACGTGCAGTGTTTTTTAGGTGAGGACATAGAGCCCTGTGAGTAGGGTCACTAGGCAGTGAGCTAGTCTTACTTAAACAGGGAGCCTGATTTGCACACCTGTAGTGACCTCTCTTCTCACATCTCCTGGGCCCTAAGGAAATCTACTGTGGCTCCCAGGAACAGTGAAGAGTTAAAAAATAGTTTTAGGCTTTCAATATATGTAATTTTATTAGAAATTCATTAGCCTGCAATTTTGCTGGAGTTGCCATTAGCAACATCTGTATGGACTATGTTTATTCAAGAGAATATGCAATTAAAATCACTAGGGGAAGAGAACATGGATGTATATTGGCAGGCGTCAAAAGGTCTCTAGAGAGAAACACCTGGTATTTTCAGTTTGGTCATGGGACCTTTTTTTTTTTTTTTTTGAGACGGAGTCTCACTCTGTCGCCCAGGCTGGAGTGCAGTGGCCAGATCTCGGCTCACTGCAAGCTCCGCCTCCCGGGTTCACGCCATTCTCCTGCCTCAGCCTCCCGAGTAGCTGGGACTACAGGCGCCCACCACCTCGCCCGGCTAGTTTTTTGTATTTTTTAGTAGAGATGGGGTTTCACCGTGTTAGCCAGGATGGTCTCGATCTCCTGACCTCGTGATCCACCCGTCTCGGCCTCCCAAAGTGCTGGGATTACAGGCTTGAGCCACCACGCCCGGCCGGGACCTTTTTTTTCTAAAAGGTATTAGGATCACACACAGAAATTCCCATAAGAATTTGGCCGTGTGCGGTGGCTCACGCCTGTAATCCCAGCACTTTGGGAGGCCGAGGTGAGTGGATCATGAGGTCAGGAGATCAAGACCATCCTGGCTAACACAGTGAAACCCCATCTCTATTAAAAATACAAAAAAATTAGCCGGGCGTGGTAGCGGGCGCCTGTAGTCCCAGTACTCGGGAGGCTGAGGCAGGAGAATGGCATGAACCTGGGAGGTGGAGCTTGCAATGAGCTGACATCAAGTCACTGCATTCCAGCCTGCACGACAGAACGAGACTCCGTCTCAAAAAAAAAAAAAAAAACAGGCAGAATTTA